TTTCTTCTAACAACCAATTCTCCAAACTGCCTAGAATGTTAACAATTGGTTCTAGCGAATAGGTGCAAACTGGTAGAATCCCACCCCTGTGTATGACCCATTGATACACAGAATGACTCATTCTTTTGACCTGAAGAACCATCAAGATTATGCTGCTGAATTTTTGTTTTGGCAGAAGTGACGGCGGGGGCGAAGGTGTGTGTAGAAGAAACAAAATAAACCCTAGCATGTTTGAATGTTAAAAAATAACTGTTTAAAAAGCAAGTTTCTGCTTCACTATCTCTAGTAAGGTCACTGGGCTATCATCTTATTTTCTAAATGCATCCGTCAGAAGCCTAAAGGAAAAAGAATAATAAAGGAAAATACAAAAAAACAACCTTAAAACATCAGCTTCTTTCTTTTTTGCATTCCTTCTCTTTTTCTTTCTCTCCATCTGAATGGGCAACACAGAAGCTAAGAGAAAATATTTATATGGGAGAACATATTTAAAACATAACCCAAAGACATATTTCTTGATAATATTTTTAAAATATTCACACAGCATAAGATGGAATAGTGAATAAGGAAATATTACATGGTCTAGGTGCAGTATAGAAGGGTTGTCCGTCTCTATCAGAATATTTTGGAACTTCTAAAACCCCTGTAGCATAATGTCATGGCAATCCTTTTTATGCATTAATATTTAAGAAGCAAAGGCTCACGTACCACAAACAAGATGTTTCACAATTTACTATTTTATACAGAGTTGTGCCAAGTATCAAAGACCTGCAACTATTCTAAATATTTATTTGCTTTTTTTAAATCTCTGAGGACCTCTAGTGGAAATATTCTGAAGTTTCCTTGTTTGATTTCTGGAAGGAAAAACAGAGTAATCTATTTATATTCACTCAGTAACAGTAATTCAGTAAAATTTAATATTAGTGTTAATACTGGGCTGGTTCACTAAGAAAATCTAAGAGGTCAAGGGATAAAATTTTGTAATTGTTTTTTTGGTGAGAAGGGGTCAAATTTATTTCATACCAAGGTTTGATTTACATTAAAATTGGCAAAGGTAGGGAATGCAATGGTGTAAATTGTGTAACCAGTTTTTAATATTGGTGGCTGTGTTAATTATTCAGTCAGTTTTCAGTTTGTACCATGCAATGCACTTTCCTTTCCTTCCCTCCCTTCCCTTCCTTTCTCTTCCTTCTTCCCTCTCCCATTTCTTCCAAAAAACCCTCTTTATTTCATTGTTATAGCCAATATTGTTAACTTTTATGTCTAAATAAATAATACTTCATTATTACCTCATCCTCTTTTACATCTATTTGCATTGGGGTTGCCTATTGATATTAACTTAGAGGAAATCTACCTATCCATCTATCTACCATATCTATCTATCATCTATCTACTGGTATCTACCATATCTATCTATCTTTCTATCGATCTATATCTATCATCTATCTATCATTATCTAACATCTATCTATCATCTATCTGGCCATCTGTCTGTCTAATCTCTCTCTCCGCAAAGTAACTTCTTTTATCTTCAATATGTGATTCTTTATATCTTCCTCATTTCCAGGAATTATCATATTAATTGTTGTTTCTCCCACCAATTTTCATTCTAATTTCTGTCTTGTTTGCTTTAATGTTCTTTTGAAGGTTCAGTTGACCTACCCCCCACAAAAAAGGAAACATAAACAGGCTCATTGTATTCAAGTATGATGAAGTATGGTAGGAGCAATGATTCATTGGAATATCTTCAAGAAATACCACTTGCTTGCAAGGAAGAATTGATGGGACCATAAAACAGACTCAGTAATAGAATACGAAGCTGAAGTGCTCTGGGACTTTTGAATTCAAACAGATAAATACCTGCTATTCCACACTTAACTGGATAGTGGACATGGCAGTGAGGCTGTGATCCCTGATAAATTGGACAAGACTGCAAAAATGATCCTCAATCACTATTTGATTCATGTCCTTCCTGGCTTGTTAAGGCCACTCAGAAAATGACATGTGGTTGAGTCCACACAGTAGTGTTGGCTTCTTTGAGGAAGGAGATGGCTCTATCAGGCATAAGGAAGTGGGCATCCTTTTTCAACAAGCCATCACTAGACCCAACAATTTGCACATTTTTCCCCCCAGGGTCCAACTCTCCTTTTTTAGGGAAGGTTACTGAGATGGTGGTCAGGTTACAGCTCTAAATAATTCTGAGGAATGGATTATTTAGACTTATTTTAGTCAGGTTTTAGATCAGGGCATAGCACAGAGACAACACTGAACATTATGACCTTAAATAGAGCTGAAATGGGAGTCATACATCCATCCTGATTTTACTTTGATTTTCTCAGCAAGAGAAAATCAGTCATGGTTGTCAATCATGGTTCTGGACATTGGAAGGAACACAAGAGTGTAGTCTGATTCCCTTGCTAACCAGTTGTGGCAAGGCACAAGCCATACCACAGATGAAAGCAGTGATCAATTAACTTATTAGGGTTAACAGGCAGCAGCATATGGGGCACAAGCTGCTTTGGACGTGAAAGCAGTAACCAATTAACTTATTACGGTCTTATTAAGGCAAGGAACTTGTTAGCTTGTGGTTTGTGCTTGTTAAGCAAGCAGCACACTACGGAAGAAGGCCACTCAGGAAGAGATAGCTTGTTTAAGCAACCTTCCTCCCAGGATTAAGGAAAAGAATGGGTCAATCACGGGGCAGGGAGGGATTCCTTCTTGTATTGGTGACAGCTATGACCAAGATTCATCTTGGGCAACAGATTCATCTTGAGCATCAGTTGTGCTCAGTCCAACATTTGAGAGGTTCTTCAGACAACCACTCATTCTCTGGTGACCTCATGCAGGTGGACTACTACAATATATGGGGCTGCCTTGAAGACTAATCAGTGCATTTGTGTATATAATATATTAAGCAGTAAATACATGCTGAGGTAATAAGTTGTTTTTATATTTTGTAATAAGTTGTTTTTACATTTTGCATCTCTGCTTTGGGATATAACTGACACTGATCTATCATTAACAAGATACATCTCAAATACTGAAGAGTGTATAGACAATAATCTGGGGACTAGACAGTGTTTTGCAGGTACAAGGTTCCAAAAAGCCAAATCTAAAGTCCAAAAGCGCAAAGAGTCAATCCAGTTCCAGAGTCAAGGTGCGAATCCATGAAGGCTGAACGAATACACACACAAACCAGGCAAGTTGTTCACAGCGTCACTCTGCTCCAGGTACTGAGTTAAATAGTGGCTAGCCAATGTAGCTCATTAGGAGGAACGAGGCCACCCTCTCGCAAGTAGCCCCGCTGACCTTTGCTAGCCTTTCCACCCTGCATACCCATGGATCGAGTGAACAAGGCAATCCGTCCTCATCTGCATTGGCCAACTGCAGCTGTTCACCTCCCCACCCCTGGTGCTGGCAGTGGGGCCTCAGGAGTCTCCAGCTGCCAGTGGGGCCTCTCATGTTTCTGCTTCATCTGGCCCTTCATCTGGTTGTCCCTTTGGTCACCCCTCCAGCGATCTCTCCTCTGTGTTTGGCCTCTCTACTCCTGGCTCAGTCTTCAGTAGCTTCTCATTGCTCCTCCTCACCTCCATCCGAAGTCCCTGGAGCTGGCTCTTCCTCCTCTTCCAAGTTGACACCTAGGGAAGCTATCACATTATTCTGTGTAAACTACCTAGACAAAGAAGTGAGCAAGCCCCCAAATTTCTTGCATTGCGACTACAATAACAACAAAAAGGCATCAGTACTGTATGTTTTATTAAAATGCAAATGCCTCACGCTTTTCTAAATACTTTCAAATGACGAATATTTATTCACTAATTCTTTTGTTGCACTCATACCTCACCACAGATTAATGACTCTTGAAAACTCACATAATATGTGATGCAGAAAACTATTTAAAACATTCACGGCATGAAAATTAAAATGACTAATTTGAATAACGGCTATAAACCGCAGAAAAACTGCAAACTTCTGGTCAAAAGAAATCACTGTTGTTGAATACTGACAATCACTATAAACATTCAGCTCTATTAATATCTGTAGGTGGATGTCAATATATTAGAGAACCAGACAGACACTGCTTGATATAGGCAGAAGTATGAATGTTATGTGCTGTTCTTTACATTAAAAGACAGGCTAAACAGCCTTTTAAAATATGGTTAGAGAACACACCAATTAATTGTCCAGATAACTGTTATTCAACCAATGCATAGAGAGCATTTATGCATTGATCAGATATCTATGTTGTTAAAACTCTCAAGGTGTCTGCCTGTTGTACCCTCAAATTAGCCCAAATGGTGCAAAATACTGCAATAATTTTTGAACCAAGTACCCAAAATGCGCTAACTTAAAGAATGTGTAAAAAAAACTCCTTTACTCCTGTGGAATTAATGTTTCAAACCAGCTTCCCTGTGGCTGCATGATTGTGATTTCTGATGTCTGATATAGACAAAGCTGTCAGGAAGTCAGAAGCTGTTTCTGCTTCCACTGTTTTTTTGTTCTTGTTTTGCCCAACCATGGTCATTCTTTTCCTCTGTTTAGCTAAGAAAATATTGACTTCTTATTGAAGTTTATTTGCCACTACAATTATTTCTCTATGATACATACTTTTCTTAAGTGATTATGGGACTGTCCAGCATTGGGGTAAAAAGAAGTATGGCTAGCCTAAAATTTAATGTCCATTCTGGTCACATCAGACTGCACTACCTTCCTTTCAAAGAACAATCCAACAGCTCAGGATCGTCTAGCTTGCCTCTGGATATCCAGTCATTCTACGGTCAAATGAACAATATGCACACATAGTAATTGGGTGTGTATGTGTGTGTGCCACTGGGAACTTTTTTTCTGGGCTATCAAAATTGTCGCATTAAAGTGTACCAAAATGAAACGCACACACACAAACACACGAAACCACAAATGCAGTTCGTCATCATGACTACATTTCCCAAGATGCAATGATGCAACTTTTTCTGGCAGTCCCTTTAGCAACTTCTCTAATAGTTAGTGATAAGAAGTGGAAGGCATGGGAAAGAGATCCTGGGTCCGAGCTATGAAATGCCAGCTGCTGGTGACCAGCCTCTTCATTATGGTAATAAAATGGGAAATGTAGCAGATGTAGGTTGTACCAGGTTGATTGCTGAAATTTGAATAAGGGGGTAATTTCATTATGCAAGTTATTAGTGGTGGTGAACGTTTAAATAGCTTTAGGAAGTCTGAACTTAAACTGAGGGGTTCTGCAATGCTGAAGGTCTTATCAGGACTGCACAGCTTTATATTGTTTTAACCAGTGGCTTGCGGTTTCTCTTTGTCAGTTGTAGTTAGAAATGTAGTCTTGAAAGTTAGAAAGATCTTAACATTGCAGCCTTTGTGCAGAGGCAGATAAACACACGCTCCTTTGCCCAGAAAGCGTTGTATTATTATCATGTGTGAGAAACACAAACGTAAAGGCTTTTAAAAAATGGAAAGTGATATAGCACCAGGTTTTAAAACAACTTTGCTTCGTAATGTAAATCTTGGGAGATGCAGCTTTGGATGACTTTTAGAATAACTTAAACAGGGGAAGCAAATGGTAGCTTCTGAAATTCCTTCCAAGCCCTTTTTCATCAGCAGCCGAAGAAGGTATCTATTCCATGTAAAGAAGTAACCTGTGGCATTTGCGTGTGCTCTTTCTTCCAGATCTAGAGGTGTGCATGTGTGTTGTGCACCTGTCTTTGGGCTTTCCACTTGCGTTGAAGCTGTTATGTGTTTTCCCTCTTGATCATGTGACCAGGGAGCTTTAGAATGGAGCAATTGACAACATTCTAAGCACTTCTTAACCCTCCCCTAAGGATTCATTGAGCGTATTTCTTCAGCAACGTTTATCTCTGCAACCCTGGCTGGATCAAGCTCATGAGTCCAAGCTAAACTGCAGCTACATGCAGTAATGCTTGGAATGCATGTATGTGATAGACTTGATGAGATCCCCAGCTCGGAGACCCCTATACCTATGGACATCCCCAATACCCATCCACTCCCCGCTTAGCTTGCTGATTCATCAGATCCTTTTAAAGGACTCTTAATGTTTGTTTTTAGAAAAAGCAATGTTGGATGCTAGCATGTTGTGCATGAAGCTCACAGGCATTCTTAGAAAATGAGAATAAAAGGTGGACAAAGCCCAATGCTTTGTTTCCAAGGGTGTCTACATGCCAGAACAGAAAGACTTCATTAAGGGACTGGCGTTTTGTCCTGGAAATTTGCCCCTTGAAATAATTAGTCTTAGTAACTTCTTTCCCTAAAGACTTCATCTTTTTGTGATAATCTTGCTTTTTTATATATTCCATCCCATACTGTGAAGTGCAAAAAAAAAAAAATGATGGAAGCTTCTAGATTCAATTCTGGAAGCAGCCTGGGAAAATTTTTACAGCCCCATTAAAAACTCCCCTCAAATATATTCCCCAAGGCAAGTTTCTCCCAGTCCACAATCCTGAAAATCTCATGTAATAAAAGTAAGCACATGCTGTTTATTCCCTTCTCATCAGAATATTTCAGAAGCAGCAGCAGCACACCTGCAAACCAAACTAAATTATCTATTTTATTGGAATCAAAAAGTAGTAGCAGAATCTAAGCGCCTGGAACCAAATCACACTTAATCAGTTCAGCTCAATTACTAATGTGTATACAGGTAGCCTCTGTTAATGATCATTTATTTAGTAACCATTCAAACTTGATACAGTTCTACAGAGGAATTGAGTCTGTCATCTGCACCTCTATAACTGTCTGGTTTGGTTCTGCATCCCAACAGGACAGACACAGAGTTCATCAAATAATTAGAACTGCAGACAAAACAAATGCTACCAACCACCCTTCCACTGAGGACCTGTATAATGCTTGAGTCAAAAAGAGGGCTGTAAAAATATTTACAGACCCCTCACATCCTGGACATAAACTGTTTCAGCTCCTACCCTCAAAATGACGCTATAGAGCACTGCACCCCAGAACAACCAGACATGAGAATAGTTTTTTCCTGAACGCCATCACTCTGCTAAACAAATAATTCCCCTAACACTGTCAAACAATTTACTAAGTCTGCATTACTATTACTATTACTATTCATCTTCTCATCCTTCCTTTCACCCATCACCTCCCACTTATGACTGCATGGATGTAACTTTGTTGCTTGTCTCCTTATGATTTTTTTTAATTGACTGTTTACTAGCATAATTTGATCTGACTTGATCGCTTATTATTATGTTTCCTAGTATGATTTGATTGCTTATTTGTACCCTTTGACTACTATTAAGTGTTATACCTATGATTCTTGAAGAATGTATTTTTTTTCTTTTTATGAACACTGAGAGTATTTGCACCAAAACAAATTCCTTGTGTGTCCAATCACACTTGGCCAAACTTATATTCTGAATTAACTATAAATAAGGAGGCTGTATGTTGCTTGAGAATTGATGAGCCAATGCCGAACTGGCACTTTTTTATATTTCTTGGGTTTCTTTTGTTCTGTTGTTTTGTTTTTGACTGGGATCAATAGGTGAAGATTTGCTAAAATTCTCTAGAATTCTAGAGCTCAGGACTACAAACTTGCAAATGACCACTAGATGGCAGCAACGGACTTTCTGCATCTCTTTGCTGCTCTATAGTGGCAATCTGGAATTCTGTACCTTTCATAAGCTGATCCCAACTTAGTCTTACTTGCCTTTTCCTGCCAGCCTATACAGGTAATAAAACCCAAACAGTTCTATCCGTGTTTTTAATGAATAATTAAGTAAGTCATGATAAATATTGACTTGAGCTTGGCTTTTTCTAGTCCACATCCAACTTTGCAAACATGCCTCTTTTTTTCTCTTCTTAGCTGCTTGGGGTATCAGTTGGCATACTGGCCATTATCACCCACAGTGGGAAACACTTCACTGTTATAAATTCTGCCTCTTCAGAGACAAATTCCTATTATAGAAATTTCCATACTATTGGTAAGTGTTGGGAAATTCAAGATTCAGTCCCTCATACTGGAGTACAAAATTAAAAGTAATTTATTTCACTGATGAGATAGGAATTTTGTTCTGTTTGGTATTTGTTTATTTTAAAGATTGATCATGAGCTGAATTTCTGTAATTTACATTCCTTGTATGGAAAATATATATAATTTATTTCAACTTTTTATGGTTTCAATTGGTTTAATTATATACCGATCAGCTAATAAATTTCTTGGTTAATGAACAAATGATAAATTTAATTGGCGGAGTTAGTTAAGATGTTAACTTTGACTGAGGAGACCCATATTCCAAATACTCCCTCAACTTCAGAAAACACTGAGTTTCTCTAGGCTCATTATACTCTTTTAATCCAAACTTAGCTTATAGAGAAGTTGTTAATAAAATTAAGTTGATCTTCTCATAAACTGCCTCAAGAGGAAAAGCAAGATATGAATTCAGTAAATACATGTGGTGAGAATTCTTAAAATACATGACAGTTCTAAGGAGAGACAATTTTCAAGCTGGAATACCTGTATGTAACTGAATTTTAAAACGGAAGTTAAATAATTAAAAGATCAATAGGGAATTGTAATGACTTAGCCAGAGCATAGAACAATGCAAAGAAGTAGTGCAAGAACAGACGACATGGAGAAACCTGGCCCATAGAATCGCCAAGAGTCAGACAAGACTGAATGGATAATCATCATCATCAGTCTACAGAATCATATTGAGTTGGGCGGGGAACTTTTCCCCATCCAGTCCAACCTCCTAATTATAGTAACAAGAGCACTAAGCAGCAGAAAATAAAACAAAATAGAAGGTAGTTCTGAGAACTGAATCACCCACCTGCAGAGAAAATGGAGAAAAAAGAGAATCCCAATTTCCAAAATGAAGATCAAGTGTTCCATGTATCTTGATGGATGTTTGATGTTCAGGATTCTCCTCTGTTAAAGAACAAATAGCATAACACCAATTTTCCATAACTTCACTAGAAAATCAATCTAAAAAAATTTCATTAGTACCCTTATTGCTCTCTCACATACTGGAACTTTATTATGAGAGCCACTGGGTGTCCTAGCTTGGAAAGAAAAGCAAGATATATCCATATAATACTTCTATATACTGGTAGAATTCAACTCAGTAGAAATTATCTTGGGAATTAATGTGTGAAACAAAAACAAATATGAACATCTGACTGAACTTGGTTGAACTCAAAAACACAGTTAAGTCAGGTTTGTATTTTTTCACACTTGAAGTAGGACCCAGATCAGAGATATAGCTGTTACAAAGACATAATATCATCATTCAATGTCAAGGCTACCAAATGCCACTTATAAACTCATTAATTCAGAAAGGAAGAAAGCAAAGTCATTTACATCCTTTCACTACCAATAGCCAATCACCTCTTGCATATGGCTTAATTCTTGGCTACCATAAAGAGTCTAATCTGGCCAATCCATATCTACGAGTTTTTTTGCCAAGTTCAGCTAAGGAGTCAAGCTAAGCCATGAAATGTCAGGAGATCAGTGATCTGTTACCAAGTCCCAATCAGAGGATTCTAACAATATTCTTGCCAAAAAAAAAACACATGGGCATGTCCATATTATTTTACTTTACCTACTCTGATTCTGCAGGATAGTTATCAGAAGGGACCTTAATATACAGAGTTTTTAATACTTTTTTCTGTATTACCTTCTTTCCAGTTTCCTACGTCGGGATGTGTCTGAGCATCATTCTGGCTATGGCTTCTCTGATGAGCATTGTTGCCACAATAAAAGAGCTGGAAGGTGCCATGGCAACTGTAAGTAATATCTGCTGTTGAATAATATAAACATGTTAGATTTTTCTAAAAACTATTTTTGAAATAGTTTCAAATTTTTTCTAAAAACTGTATTTAAAATGGGAATGACTTTCAAGGAAGATCCTAAGAAATTCCATCTTGGGATACTTTCTTGAAATGATTATAGATATCAAGATATGTTGGGAAAGTGCCTGTGTGTGATAGCTTGTACAATCTCTACTGCATAGAAAATAATGTACATCAAAATATATGTTAAAATCGACGGCTTCTGGTTTGAGCTTCTTCGGCGACAAACCAAAACCTCATCTCTGAGAGGCTTTGATCCATGCTCGCTGCTGGAGCGCCCCGAGCTGGCTGGTTTCGGGGCTAAGCCACCCCGTAGAGGTGGTGAAGAAGGGGGAGACTGCCTGCAGGGTTGAGGAGAGCCGCATCTCTCCTCCCCAGCTGGCCATTACTCCCTTTCCCGAAGGCGGTTGCAGCGGTGGTCAGAAATGGCCACCCTAAAGAAGAACTCAACTGGAAAAGAATGTGCAGGAGGAAGATAAAAAGAGAAAGTTTTGGTTGACCGGGTCAAACAGCAAAAGCAACAAATAAGGTACCCTGGAATAGAAACTATTAAAAAAAACAATAACATTGTTCCCTAAGAAGATTTTGAAGCTGCGAAGGAGAAAGAAAAGGGAAAATATTTGTTTTTGTTTTTTTCTTTTCCTATACTGACAGCTAAGAGACAGGAAAGGAGAGAAAAAGAATAAAAGGGCAGGATCTGGAAGGGAGGAGACTGCCTGGAATTAAAAAAGAACTTACAGCAAAATCTCAACAAGACTTCCAAAAGATACATTCTAACTGAAATATTGCAACAAAAACCCAGGAAGAGAAAGTGGAAAAAGAAATAAGAAGATATAACTCGGGACTATTTGGATTACTTGATGATTTCTGGATTTTTGGTTATTGTATCTGAATGACTAAAATCAATCGGGTGGTTGTTTAAAACTGTTTAAAATGGCTCCACTTTTGGAAGAACTGAAAATGGAACTTAAAAAGTACAAAGAAGATGCACAAGAAGGGAAAGGTTCTTTTGGCTTCGTATTTCAGTTTTAGAAATAGAGATTTGGAATTATGAGAAACAACAAGAAATGCCTGCAGAACAAGAAGATTGTGACAAAGAAGAAGCCATCTTTAATGAACAAGTATTCTTAGGTGGGGGGGGAGGAAAGGGGGGAAAGAGAATGGAAAGTTTAAGATTGGGAAAAACAACTCCCCCCCCCCCAAAAAAAATAGAGTGAAAAATAAGTAGAAAATCAGAAAGCAACAGAAGAGGGAAATGCAGAAGAGAGAATTAGAAGTAGAGAGACAAGGGGGTAAAGAGGGGAGGGAGAAGATGAGAGAGAAGAAAGAAAGGAAAAGAAGTTATAAAGGACAGAAACAAAATATAGAGAAACAGGGCCTATTTAGAGATAATGGGTGAAAAAATGGAAAAAGGGATTCTGCAAAGGTACATAAGATAGTATTGTTATATTAGAAACACAAATAATTTTAGAAAATATGAAACAAAGTATGATTAAAATGTTTGATAAAATAGCTATCGTAATTCAGTGGAATGCTTGTCAATAAATAAATGTAACAATGAATAAGAGAAATAAGGGAAAAATTAATTATGGAGATTATATGTGTCTTTAAGGAAGTATGGTATTTAATTGAAAAGAAGTGTTAAAGATGTTAAGATTTTAATGATTATTAATGATAGAACTGAATTGGAATGGAATGAGGGTTTATAATTACATATATTTATAATCCTTTTTTAAAAAGAACATAGTGTGTATTATAAGAATGCACCAAGCAGAATTCGATTGGAAGTTATGTATTATGTGTTATATTGAAGGTCATAACCTTAAGGTATATATTGAAGTTTAAATAAGAGTTGAATGGATGTAATTAAAAGATATAAAGGTATCATACTTCAATTAGTAACTACAGGAGAAAATTTGTTTAATGAGAAAAGATAATATGAAATTGAAACAGAAGAGATATAAATATAATGATTTGAATTGAGATGAGATAATCAAAATAAAATTGAGAAAATTAAAAGAGGGGAAAAACTATATAGAAAATGTAGAATAATATAAGATATGGAATAGAACACAAAAGGAGCATGAAATTGAGTTTTGTGTCTGTATAAAGAAGTTCAACCCGGGACCATGCTATTTTCAAAAAAGATGTTTTACTTGTATTTTGTGTGTGAAAACCCAAATAAAACTTTATTAATGTATGTATGTATGTATGTATGTATGTATGTATGTATGTATGTATGTATGGTATTCAGCTTTGTTTGGGTATTTTCCCATGTCATTATAGTTGTGCTTTTTAAATTGTAGCAACATTTCGGCAGAATCTCATCTGCCATCATCAGGCTTCTGCATTGTGTTCGTCTGTGAGTCAGACTTTTACAGTTGTTTCAGTTTTAAATTTGGGGCTAGCCTACTGCTGTGCCAGAATGTTTTTTTCTTCATCCTGATTGGTTGGGAGTCTTGGTCTGTGTTTATTGGTCTTGGAGTTTGCTGTGTTCTGCTTGATTGGTGTTTCTAATATCTTCTGTCTGTTTTGTGGTTTTTTTTGTCTTGGTTGGCTGGCAACATTGTGTTCCTGTATTGGAAGCTTTTAGTGCAGCTTGGCTCTGAGTAAATGGACGGCTATCATTTGTTAGGAAGCTAGGTTTCATCTGGGTGCCTGGTTGGGATGTGTTTGAGCTGGAGGTATCAGGGGGGATCTGTTTGTGCCCAGGTGTTTGCCTGGCTTGTAGAGTGGAGATTTTTTTTGTTTGTGAGTGCAGGCTTCCAAATAATTGACAGTCTGGTGGAATCATCTCTTCTATTCATGCTTTCAGGTCTTTTTTCAATCTCTATGGCTTCTCTGATAATTCTGTAGCTGGGGTTTTCTATAGTGGCTAGGGTTTTGGTGCCATTGAAGTTGATACTATGACCTGTGGCTTTCATGTGTTAGACTAGTGAGGAAGTGTGTTCTAGCTTTTTTACTGCATTTTTGTGTTCATCCAGGTGGGTACTTATTCTTTTATTGGTCTGTCCAATGTATGTGGCCGGGCATGATGCACAGGGGACTTCGTATATGCCTTGGTTTTCCAAGTCAATTTTATCTTTGGGGTTTCTAAGGATGGCTGCTATTTTTCTGTCTGTTTTGAAGGCAGTCTTGATGTGATGCCTGTGTAGTATCTTACTGATTTTGTCTGTAGTACCTCTTATGTAGGGCAGGACAGCTGTTCCATAGGTCTGTTCATCTTCTAGGTACATAAGAAGTACTACAGAGACTTATATGCTGTGTCATAGTGCTTTACAGCCCTCCCTAATTGGTTTACCTATTGCCCCAAACAATCTGAGTCCTCATTTTACTGACCTTGGAAGGATGGAAGGCTGAGTCAACCTTGAGCCAGTCAGAATCGAACTCCTGGAGTGAGCAGTGAGTTAGCCTGTAGTACTGCATTCTAACTATTGAGCCATCACAGTTCATTCATTCAAGTTAAATGAATAATTTCCAATTCTGTTTCAGAATTGGTTTTAGAATTTGCCTAGATTTTCTGAAGCAATTTTTTCAGTTTCTCTAATCAGATCCACATACATATTATTATTTTTTCCACTACACTCTAAACCAGGGATGTCAAACTCAAGACCAGCAGGCCGGATCCGGCCTGTGGGTTGCTTAAATCTGGCCCGTGGTGCCAGCCTGGAAATATCAAAGGATTGGTCCACAGTGCCTCTGCTGGCCAAAATGAGTCACAGGGACCCCGCATGTGGCCCCCCTGCAGTTTGTTTTCACCCTCCATGGCCTTCTGCAGCACTCTGTCGGCCGAAAACAGGCCATGCAGAGACCCCGTGAGGCCCCTGCACAGCCAGTTTTTGGCCTCCTTGGCCTCCAGCAGCACTCCACTGGGCAAAATGGGCTGCGCGAGGCCCCCATGAGGCCCATTTTTGGTCTCCCCTGCCTCCAGCAGCACTTTGCCAGCTTTCAGCTGGCAGAGTGCTGCAGAAGGACTGGATTGGAATCGATTACAATTATCTGGCCTTAAGTAAGTGCCTGACCTGGATAGAAAACAAGCAACATCCTATATTAATACTATAGTTTAATGCCAGATTTACATACTGTAAGTCCATGAATCTGCAATCAGCCATCTATAATTGACAGCCATTTCTATTTACTTTCCTGGAAATTTACCTCTGCTGTTAGATCTTGTATTATCATTTATGCTATTGTATTTTTATTATTAGTTGAATAATAATAATAAAAAAACAATAGTATACGTATTTTTTCTGCCTGGAAAAGCAATTTACTATTAAAGAATGGGGTATAAATTTAGAAATAAAAAGTTTAGTGGCGTATGAAGAATAAGTAATAAATGTTTGCCAGTAATATCTGGTTGAAGAGATAGGAAAATGGTTATAATAAAGAACTGTCAAACGTCTATGTGCCCACCCCCAGCCCTCTGAGGTCAAACAGAACCCTGATGCAGCCTGCAATGAAACTGAGTTTGACACCCCTGCTCTAAACTAAGCATGCCCTTAAAAGTATAGCATAATCACAAGCAATATATCTGATAGATGTGTTATCAGTGACATTAGATAGCATGAGAAATGCCTGCTATATATTTTCACACAATGCTACTGGTACATGGATGTCCTTCTTGGAAAGCAGATAAATTTGAATCCCTGCCCTGTTATTTCAATGCCCTGTGAATAATTCACACAAGCATGTGCAACAGGTCCAGAGAAAATTTAGCATACCCCAAGAATTTTCAGTACCTCTGTCATCCCAAACATCTCATTCCCTGTTGTTACTAGCCTTATTGTCCAGACTTGCTATGACATTGATATATGGTTCTGGGCCACACCAAATTACAAGGTGAAAAATTCTTTTGAGAAGTTGATCTATGTTGAGGGAAGATTCCTCCCCCCCCCCCACGCCGGCACATATACTGCATTGGATTTGCTCACAGA